ACAGGAATTTGGGAGACACTACTCAGCTCGTGATGAGGGAAAGCTGTGTGTTGAGAGGATTTGCAGAAGGAGGTCTTGGATGGGACCCAACGGGGCTTTTCGAAGGAGTAGAAAGTAATTTCCTGGAGCCTCCTAAATAAAGGGTCAGTGTGTGCACATCACACACCTGCAGCAAAGGGGCCAGGACAGGGATGACCTCACAGATGCTGCATCCAGGTCGGGGCCGAGGAGGAGGCAGGGTGGGGTGGCAGGTGTGGCCGTGAGGCTGCCCAGCCCTTGGGGAGGATTCTGGGGGCACCTGGAAGGCAGGCAGAGGTCACTGCAGAGACGAGTATGCAACAGCACAAGGGAGTAGCTGTGTTCAGCCCAATGCACCTGCTGCAGCCTGGCTTGATGCCGGAGCTGGCCCAGCGGGACAGAGAGGCTTCTGGAGCGAGGGCTGCACCCCCCCGGAGCCGGCTCCAGGCGTTCCTCTCACTGGACATTTCTCTGGCCGCAGCTTGGAGGAGATGGCCGGGCTCAAAGTCTGCTGCAGCGGTCACCTGTGGGAAGGGCCCCCGATGCACCCTTCAGGGAATCCCACCTGCAACCAACTCACAGGCCACCCACAGCATGTGCTTCCACTACTCGAAGATGTCTGGATTGGAGGAGGGGATCTTGGTAACCCACTTACTCCAGAAGTGGAATGCATATGGGCCCCTCAGAAATACCTGCAATGGGTCAGATTATGGGTCAAGTTCAGGGATATCCATAATCTTTAGAATTCGTGTGGGTGCACCATGGCCACGGACAAAGTGTCCTCATTGTGGCCTCACCGCGCCCTCGCAGGGGATTAGAATTCCCTTCTGTCCGTGTAGGAAGCCCCACTCTCAGCTACTCCTCCCCACTATCAAGCAAAGTACACCTCGGCTCCAAGCTCTCTGGCTGCAAACTCTGTCCTTCTTCCCTCAGCCCGGAACAGCAGGGCTGGTCCCCCCTCCTCCCAAGACCTTTCCTGACCTGGGGCTCAAACCCCAAGTTTCAGTGCATCCCTTACTTTCTCTTACTATTTCCTGTCATTTTTGCAATATTTCCCATACTCCGCTTGGCATTACAGTTATTAGGGGATGTCTCATCCTGCCTAACATAAATCCCGCGTTCAGGAGTTACCTTACCACACCTCGCATTTCCAGCAGCGGATAGCGCACGGCTGTCCCTTCCGCAGGTAACTGGTCAGTATGCACTGATGGCAGGGGATCCAACATGTGGATCCTGCCAGAAGCCCCAGAGAACAGACCCAGGGCTCTGGAAAGGAAATGAAACGTCTCATGACTCAGTTTATTTGTGGAATGAAGTGTTCAACTAAATGAAGCTAAAAATACAGTACCCTGCAAAATATCTGCATCTAAGATCCAAAAACAGGAGACTTTTTCCATGCACTGTGTCTGGCACATTTTCCTGGGGTAACCCATTTGCCTCCAGGGTCGTTGGCCACCCTAACTCCGTGCGATGCTCGGCCGGTCCCCAGGTGCTTCCCCTCCCAGAGATTATACAACATAGCTGCTCTCAATACTATGCTGCCACGGGACATTTTAATATTTTAATATTATTGCAAGACCCCTGACTCTTGGACCAAGTTAGGATAAAGCTCACTGGGTTCACGGTTTCAACACGTTGTACCTGCGTGTCGTTTAGCTGTATGTTTACCTGTTTAAACTTCCTGGTTTTTCATACCCAGACACTACATTGTTATTACTAAATTGCTCCAAATCACAGAACTCCAAGAATTGATTTGCCTTTCTGATACATCTCTCTACTGACAGGTCTGCATTTTTTTCCATTGGGGCTTCATAATACAGTTTGATTGATTTACATGTGTGTGACAACTGTCTCCAGAGATCCTGGTGCAGAATTAGGGTCATTTCGAAGGTTCCCTTGGAGAGACTTGCGAAGCTTGTTCACTCACTTTTGTAAATAGTTTTATTTTATGACATGAACAGCACGTTTATCCAGTTTCCGGTGAACACAAAGCCGGAAGCCGGTCAGCATGCTGTGACAACCGTTACTCATGAGTGTGTGGCGGGTTGGAACCAGGGAGCAAGCTGGTGCCATGATGTCGAACCTGTGTTTACATTAAGAATGAGGAAAAGTGGGTTAAATCACATTTCAGTTGAAAGGATTTATGGGATTTTAATTGGGATGAACACAAATAAGCAATACTGTGGGTAGAAACGGGTGGTACCAGCCCCACCCACCTCGGCCCACATCGGGGAAAACCGAAAATCAGGAGACCCAGGCATCCGACACTGATCCATGGAGTTTTTGGCCAAACAATTAAACAGAGACACAGGTAAAAACACTCTGAAGAGGACTGAGCACTGAGCATTACGGCAACCGCGCCAGGATCAGCTAGAGATGATAGTGTTCTTAATACTCACATCCTTTTTGTGAGAACTTTATCGCGGAAAGTGGAAGTGATGCTTGTCTCTAAATCTCTGAACAGGTGTCAGATGAAACAGGTGTCCTTGATGCTTGGCTGCTCCAAAGGCGGAGATGGAGCTTAGGGAGGGCAGCTGGAGGTGGTGACCAGGGCAGGAGAGCCACTCCGCCTGGAGCAGGAGGGTGTCCAGTCCCAGGCGCCTGGAGACCTTGCATTCCTGGCCGAACGGACACCAGGAAAAAATGTGAGAGAAGAAGTTGTACAACGTTTAAGGCTTCTTCTAAAAGAGGTTCAGTGATTATTTGACTCAATACCCTTGTTTGTATTTTAGTAAATTTATACTTCAGGACAACATGCAGAGCTTTAGAGAGCGCTTCTATGGAAAAAAGACAGACAAACGGTCAGACCAGGAGCCAGGCAGTGGTCCTCAAGGAATCTCACCAGGTCCCTGGGGATATAACACTTGGACGTAGCAAATTTATAAATATTTGTCTCCAATAATCTTTTAGATTATGTGTGTTGGGTCTGCCATGTTTGAGTTGTATTCTGTCTGAAGACGTATTTCTTCTGCAGCTTCTACGACCAGGGCGGACAAGTCCAGAGCTGTTTTTGCTGAGAAAACAAACACAACTCCATCATCCCTTTGCCTCTGATGTTCCCAACGTTGCTTTCGAGCTCTTTTATGGAGGATGGTGAGTGCTTACTGAGTGGAAATGTCCAGTCTTCTTGAGTTCATAATCATCCGTTTGTGGGTTCATCTGCTTTGTAGATCGCTTCTGTTAAAAGATGTGTTTTAAGTTGTAAGTATGTTTGTCATCTTTTGCTTCTAGCCAACTGATTTCAGTGATTCTTACCAAGATCCTCAAACCTCATTTAATAAAGCTGATGGACCCACAAAGCTGGTATCTGACTTGTCACCTGCAAGTTCAGAGTGGATGCATGTTTGCACATCTGCACATACTCATCTTCTAACCTATGGGAAGAGGAGATCCATCTGGTCCAGAGGGTATGATTTCACTCCAGGAATTTCTCCCAGGTAGAATCTCTGTGTGAGGGGCTGTTGGAAACACACGGTAATTTTTATATTCTAGGAGGAAAGGTGTTCTTCACAACGTGTCAAAACCTTTCAATGCAATGAACAGTTTGTCAGAAAACCTGTTTTGGATTTAAAACCTTAGAAGGAGTTACTTTTAGAAAAACTGGGAACACCATGGCCACTAGTAAGTGATTTAACAATTGGAATCTGAAGGTTCTTCATTAGACTGTAGAGGGAGTCATTGCCCCCAGAGTGATTGGTCGCAGGCCTCGGGGAAGACCTGAGCACTGCCTGGGGCCTTGGGCGGGCAGCGAGGACCGGCCCTCCCATGCCGCTAGGGCCTTGGCGCCAGTCACAGACTGCACAGGATTATCTTCTCAGAACATGATCCCTGAGTCATAGCTACCAGAAATCACCGGAAATGTTCAGAAGCCGTGAAAGATGACATTCTGCTGCAGATTCGGCTACATCATTCACTCAGATTCTGCTTGTAAGATCTGAAGACATGTGTCTGTTTTTGTTGCATTCTAAATAAGCAGAAAAAAACTAGTTTCCATGCTTAGAAATATCCCGGATCTGTTAATGTTCTTTAGGTCATTTTAAGGGATAATGTTATGTCTTCATTAAGCTACTGGCATAAGAGATTGGCTGAAAGCAGACGAAAAGCTGCCTCCAGTTGGAGATTCATGTGGATCGTCCATGCACAAACTCGCTGCTGATGTCACCAGGCCCCTGAAGGTCCAGGAGCACCCAGAGTTCACGTAACTGTAAAGTTTTCCACTTAGTAAAGGCTGTGGAAAGTGCTGGTGGATGGAAAGAGTCCTACCCTTCTGTGCTCTCCTGTAGCATTGCACACCCATCATTTATGACCCTCGGCACATGTCACCCAGTGCGCCCTGAGAGATGAGTTCCCTGGGCCCCTGCCTCATGGCCCCAGACCCTTGGGGGCAGGAATGCAGAGAGTAGGCAGTGCAGACCGAGGAGAAGACACACAAGGTCTGCACAGTGAAGTGGTGCTTTAAGTGAATGCTTTCATTAAGAGAAAGGAAGAAACAGAAATGATCGTCCCCCATGTGTATCCAGACAGGACCGCTACAGACACAGGTATCAGCAGCTAGTGGCTCGGTCATACCTCCCTCCAAGGGCTCCACTGTGTGACACATGTCTGGAACTTCTCGGGGACGGAGGGCATCCATGATCCCTCTAATCAGGACAGGTCCCCGGCCTTTCAGAACATGGAGAAGCAGCTGTTGCTCTTGCGGGGGCCACCCCCACGCTGAGCACCCTCTGCAGATTCCAGCAGTCCCAGGCAGTCTGCCGCAGCCCGTCCCCAGTGCTCCCCCATGCTCCATGTCCCCAAGGGTTCCATGAAAGTGCTGTGGCTTCTGCAGGACACTCCTGTGTCTGCACACCCCTGTCTGCAGAGGCACAGTCACCACAATGCGGGCCCTTCATCCGGGTTCTCTTGAACAGCTAACACTGTAATTGTAGCAGATAAGACCTCCTCAACAAGGCACTAAACTCCAATCGATACGCACCGTCGACATGCAAGTTCAAGATGTGTACGGCATGAAAGAGATCCACCAACGGGGGTAACCTGCTGCCTGCATTTCAGGATGTAATTAGATCCACTGCAAAACTTGCAACCTTTATCACTGAACAGTCCTTCAAAAAGAATGTTTCTTCTTTTTAGGTTAATTAAATAACATATACTGCTTTAAAGGATTTGCTAACATATTTGTCTTGTATCAGATTTAGAAAGGAGGACCGCAGCTGAGGACGGAAAATGTTCTTCATAAATAAGACATGCATGTGGTTACGTTAACTAAACACCGGCTTCGCACGTGAGCTTCCCAAAATGGGATGCATTTTACACTTCAGACCTGGAGCCTCCTCTCCAAAGGATGAGCTCTCTATTTACATTTTTATAAGATATTTTCAGAGTTTTCTTACAAACATTTTTTAAACTCACTTTACATATCCCATTTTATGTTATTTATTATAAGCTTACTTTAATCACTTATATAATTCTATAGTAAAAATTCACACTATGCTTTATGTGTATTAGTGCATTTATATTATATTTGTTATATTACATTATACTATACTATACTATATTATATTTAGGATGTTGTTATCAAGTATTTGCTCAGCACAACATTGTCTAAGCTTGGGGTTCTGCAAACTACAACTACAGGCCAATTCCAGCCATGGTTATGTCTAGATGAACTTCAAGCTGAGAATGACTTATCTTAGTCACCTCCTGATGTTTAGCCATTTACCCCATACATAGAGTCTTTTTTTTAAATTTTTTATTTAAATTCAATTTAGTTAACATATAGAGTATCATACTTTCCATACAGTGTAATATACAGTGTAGAGGTTACTGATTCATCAGTTGCATACAACACCCAGTGCTCATCACATCACATGCCCTCCTTCATGCCCATCACCCGGCTACCCTGTACCCCCACCCACCTCCAGCAACTCTCAGTTTGTTTCCTATGAATAAGAGTCTCTTATGGTTTACCTCCCTCTTTATTTTTATCTTATTTTATTTTTCCTTCCCTTCCCTTACGTTCATCTGTTTTGTTTATTAAATTCTACATATGAGTGAACTCATATGATAATTATCTTTCTCTGACTGACTTATTTCACTTAGCATAATACCCTCTAGTTCCATGAATGTTGTTGCAAATGGCAAGATTTCATTCTTTTTGATGGCTGAGTAATATTCACAAACTGATACAACCACTCTGGAAAACAGCACGGAGGTTCCTCAAAAAGTTAAAAATAGAGCTATCCTATGATCCAGCAATTTTATTACTAGGTATTTATCCAAAGGGTACAAACATAGTGATCCAAATGGGCATGTGCACCCCAAGGTTTATAGCAGCAATGTCCACAATAGCGAAACTATGGAATGAGGTCAGGTGTCCATCGACAGATGAATGGATAAAGAAGATGTGGTATATAGATAGATAGATGATAGATAGATAGATAGATAGATAGATAGATAGATAGATAGAGATATTGATAGATAGTCTTAAAACAACACACATTTACAATCACACAGTTTCTCTGGGTTGGTGTCCGTGCTTAGGTGCTCAGGATCTCACAGGCTTCTCTCAGGGAGTCAGCTGGGCTGTGTTCTCATCCGTGGGCTCACCTGGGGGCCACCTCAAACTGACTCAGGTGTTGGTGGAATCTGTCCCTCATTGCTGTGACATGAGGGTCTCAGCAGCTTGTGTTCCCTGCAGCTCCCTGACCGGGCCTCTCCATGGACTAATCATACCACAAGTCATTTCTTCCTGGCCATCAGGACAGCAAGAGACCCTGTTGAGGTGTCCTATAACACGGAGTGGTCACCAGAGTGAAACCCCATCACCTCCAGGTTGGAAGCAAGACACAAGTCCCACCCTGAGGGGGGATGGGACTCCCCCAAGGACATCAAAACATGACCATTACAGGCACTTTTGGGCACACATCCTTACTCTTTAAAGGGTGGTAAGCACTTTCAATTAAATTGAAAAGGATGATGTGACAGACACTATATATGGCCCATAAAGCCTCCAATATTAAGAGTTGGCATTTTACAGAAACTGTTTGCACACCCTGGATTTCAAGGGTAATGTTGGAGGTGCAAATGCAGCACACCTCAGCGTAGTGAACACCCCGGTTTCCCCATGTAAGTCCTGATAAGGAAAAGTAAGTGAGGACAGAATATCAGAAGCATATTCCTGTTCATATTATCAGCATGTATTCACATGTATCCTTAGGGACACAACACCTATGTGCGAAAACAACGGGGAAAAAAAGACATATGGTCCCGGGACCCTGTGTGATGAGACTCACTTTCTCCTATCCTTTATCACCTGAGGTTAACTCATGTTTAAATTAACAATCATTTTATTCTTCAAAATTCCATTTATAGAGAAGCTTTCAAAAATCTTGCCACTGATGGGCACCTTAGTCAAAAGCAGAGAGGGTATAAATTGCTATTAAGGAATCCCTATGTGCTTTGGAGGGAAATTACTGGTCTGTGTGTAAAGCCTGGGTAACTCTGGGTGGAGCAGTGTGATGGGGGGCACTGGGGAAGGGAGAGAGGTATGCACAGAGCATCAGTGGAGAGGATGCCTCCTCGGAATTTCTAGGATCAGTCATTGGTCATCTCCTCCAAAGGTAAGATCAGGATTGATTCCAAGAAGGAAGCAGCTGAGGAGGGAACACAGAGATGGTTCTCGGGAATCAGCCCCCCATGGGGAGACACCAGACACTCCCATGGAGGATGGGAGACACATCTAAGCTTGCACTTTGCAGATCAGTAGTTTCTGAAGTGGTCATTTCCAAGGGAGAAGTTAACAGAGCTCTGAGATAAGATGGCTCCTAAATGGGGAAGTGTACGGTGATGCACACATTTCCAGATGGAGGCACCGGGGTTCACGCAGCATGAAACCTGCTGCAGGTGCACTGGCTTCGTCTCACCTGTGTTCCTGTCTGCTCTGGACGTGGGAGAAGTCCTCTCCTTCCCCGACGCAGACACAGCTGCTCTCCTGGCTTCAGGGATTCTTAGAGTTAGTCTACTTGCTTGTCTTCAAGCCACAGAAGCCTGAGGAATGTGCCTGGAAAGGTGGGGGACGTGGTCCCTGGTGGGCGCCGGGAGCCTCAGAGCAGAGCAGATCCATCACGCATGGCACCGCCACTGTGAGGCAGACACATCTCTGCTGCGGGCGGAGCATCTTGCAGGAACATTGACGTGCTGTCACTGGCATGAAAGAAAACGTGGTTCATCTTACAGGCTCCTCTTTTATCAAATGATTGGACTTTTGGATAAGTGTCTCCTGGTGACTGGTTCTGGCTCTTTCCCTTGCCGGGAGTAGAGAGCACGCGGAGGACAGTGGCAAGGGCTAGGTCATATGGGGCTGGAGCCCAGGACAAGGGCCCCGACTTGGAGCTGCACAGCTTCCCAAAGTGAGAACAAGGCCATAGGTAGTCGGGGGCACAGACCCAGCCCGTGTCGTGGGGAACTGCGGGGTGTCACCGATTCCAGACAAGAACAAAAGGTAGTGGGCTTGCATGTCATCACAGCTGCTCTGGGCACCGCTGCCCCCCATGGTCAGCCCTCCTGCTTCTGCCTCCAACCCACATGCTCCCTTCTGCTGCTGACATGCTGCACACCCATGCCCTCACAGCCAAGCCATGACTGGACTTCACGTCATTGAGATTTCACTTCCTTCAGGAAACTTCCCCCACAGCCCCCAAAGCCTGAGAAAGAAGCTCATCCGTCCCACGGCCCCTAATGGCTGTGAAATGTGTCCTTACTTCTCCCTCCCCCTTCCTATGCTAAAACACCAACAGTGAGCAAGAATTGTGTCTTTATTGTTTATTGTCTATTGTTTGTTTACTGCCATGTCTGCAACTCAGCACCATGTCAGGGACAGAGCAAGTGAACATGTGTGTGCATGTGTATGTGTCATGTGTAAGTGTGTGAGTGTTTTACATGTGTGAGTGTGTGCATTGAGACTGTGAGTAGGTATGTGTGTCTGTGTGCACATGTGTGACTGTGTGGTGTGTGCAAGTGCACATGTGTGTCTGCATGTATGAGTGTGTATGTGTACGTGCATTGGCATGTGCGCACGTGTGCAGGCATGTGTCAGTGTGTGCATGAGTGTGTGCACGTGTGTGCATGTGCATGTGAAAGTGTAGAATGACCAACCAAATGCAATCGGACTGGACAATGGAGCCTCAAAGCGTCATCATCTGTTTCGTCTGAAATCTCACCCTGGTCGTCCCCCGAGTCCCCAGCCCTGGCCTGAGCTCTGCAAAGAGGAAACCAGAATCCTGCACAGCATCTGCCCAGAGCATTCAGAAATTCTGGGAAAATGTTTCCCTGCCCTCCCCACCTCAAAAAATCCCATCTGCTAATGACTGAACCTCATTAACTTCCCACGGTTTTGTGGCTCGTGGTTCTGCAGCAAGACTCAAGGTGTAAACCCTAAGGTCAATAAGCAAAAAGGATTAACAGCAGAAGCTTTCTTGAAAATAGCAAAGTGCTGGGGCAAAGAAACACTAAAATTCAGAATTAGAAGTGACCTCGTGAAGGGTAACATGTGAGAACAAGAAGAAACAACAGCAAAATGTCATGCATTAAGTGTCTTTTCTCCAAGACTGGGACCTCAGGACCCATGGGATAAATCTCCCTGGAGCCCCGTGGGAAGGAAATTGTCATGAGAGTCTCATATATTGCCATGTTTGGTTCTCGTACTGTTCGCACAATGCTGGCCGCCAGGCTGGTTGCTTTGCAATCCCTCCAGTGGGCAGCACTCAGGGGCTTCAGACTGGGAGACCCAGGGAAGAAGGCAGCCTCACTAGATCGGTGTGGGTCCAGACCCATGCAAATCTGAAGAGCAAACACGTGCCGAGTGTCATAGCAGGTATTTTCAGGGAAAAACACCATAACAAGATGTCAATGAAAAAATCCTTTCATGATAAATAAAACTTAGCTATTTTAGCTCTATTACAAGTAATGTAGAAGTCACAACAGAAAAGACCTATTGAAAGTTTTCCCTGGTGCCTACATTTGATATTTGGT